CCATCTTGGTCATGTTGCTCTCATGCTCAAGAATCTATCAAGACTCTCTCCCTGCTAGACCAAGCCCTAATCTTGAGCCTAACTTCATTTATTAATTTTAATTATGACTTAAATACTTGAAGTCACACAAAGTTGAAGAGATTTATAACTTCCTTTTTTGAAACAAAGTAAAATAAGAAGTAAATTCCCCACTTACAGCAAAGTAACCATTTACTCTAAAGTAACCATCTTCCACTTCTGATCTCCAGCTCTTTTAAGCCACTCTTCATTGGGCTCATCATGTGCCATATGAATTTTCTGTTGTGTGATTATGAATGGAGTCACCCTCGTCAAGACTCCACTCTTCCCTCTGTCTCTTTAAAACCTGCCCAGCTGAGGTTCCAACTTCCATGGCATATGTTACCTGCCGCACTTGAATACTTAAGTTCTCTATTATAATTGTTTTCAGGTGTTGGACTATTTGTTCTTCCAATACGATTTGCATTCCTTTCCAGCAACCATGGCTTTTATTTCTATATAACAGATATTTACAGGGCATGTGCAAGCAATCTCATACCTAGCATTCAAATGGGTTTTTAAATATAAAGGAATTGAGTTTTTAAATGGCACTTGTGTTCGTTCATTTGGCAAGCATTAAAACTCCAATATGTGTCCGGCACTGTGTTAGAAACAAAGAATTTACAGACTGAAAGAAAAACTGTAATGGCAGAACAGAAATGGATCTGTATTTTCTGCCTCTAATGTACACAGCACATGCCTTTAATATCTACTATGCTATATTGCAGTGCTTTGTGAGTGCCTCATGCCCCCCTGTCTTTGGCACCTCTAGGACAGGGAATGGGTATTATAATTTTATATTCTCAGGGTCTGGTACAATACCTGGCATGTGCTCCTTTTTTGGGGAATGCTTGGAATGAACTATTGAACTGAACTACAGTATAATTTGAAAAATGTTATAATGGAGCCTGTGTGGATACTGTGGAGGGACAGGAGAGGGGTACCTACCCTATTTTTGTTTCTTGGCCAGAGTAAGTTCCCCTTGCCAAATGACAGCTCCATCAGATTGTATTTGGACACAGTTTCACTTGGACAGTAATTTTACTTAAACCAATATTGGCAGTGCTCACTTGGATTACATTTTTGAGGAGGCACTGTAATTTAGAAGCATGTAAGTTGGCTAAAGTAGGGTCTTATTTCTGAACAAGGACAAAGTATAGATTTTTATGGAGACCTCTGTTCAGCAAACTCTGGTATCTCTGTTTTCTTAAGCCATATAGAGTTTTCTAAAGTTGATCAGTCTATTGAATGATCACATTGGTGTCTTAAAACTCATTTATTTATAAAATTGACATAAGGATTTTCCTGAACTGTTAATAAAATAGCTATTTTTGGGAAGCAGTCCTGTTGTACCATTCAGGTAAATACGAGTAGTTCTGTATCTTCTGCACCTGTTTTGATTTTTTTATTGATAACGAGAATGTTTTACTTTTATATAAAAGAATTAATAAGGTTGATGTGAATCCCACTTATTTAAGGATCACAAGCTGAAGAAATTTCTGGGAGAGAATGGATACAGGCTAGAGGGGAACCTGGAACTATAAGTTCCTACAAATAGTGGTTTTCTCCAAAGCAAAAGAGTTAGATCAGGGAGAAGTGGCTGAACGGGACAGGCGGTTGTGGATGGAACTGGAGTTGGTAATAGAGGTTCCAGGAAGCATGTCAAGAAGTAGATTGGCAGGGTAGGTGGTTGAGACAGTTGCTTTGAAAAGCTTTTGGTTCAAAGGCATTTGATTTGATGTGCTCTCAGTTTAGGCTTCTGAGTGTGTGGGCTGCCTGTGTTGGTTTTATGTTGTGGCAGGATCCCTGAGACCCAGGAAGGTTAGCGGAGCTTCAGATCATGTCAGGACTTGGAGCCAATCAAAGCTTCTGTTTAAATGCTTTGTTAAATAAGAAATATTTTGATATTTTTTTCTCCTAATGATTTGAATGAAGGAAAAGCACCATTGAACATATGGAAACGAAGGATATTGATGAGATGGTCAAACAGTTGTGTATTTTGAAGGCTAAGGTAGTTCAACATTATCATATAAGGGGTATAATTTCATGCACATAACTCTGAAAAGAAATTGTGTGCAGCATAATTGGGGATGCAATGCCTGTTAAAATCAAAATAACTTCTTTCAGAATGTTAATATAGTGTTGTTTTCTGTAAATTTAATCATGTCACAGTGTTTATTAAAATAACTTTTTCTGTTTTACTTTTAATACATAAACACATTAAAATTATAAAAGAGTCATATGATTCAGGGGCTCCTGGGTGGCTTAGTTGGTTGGGCATATGACTCTTGGTTTCGGCTCAGGTCATGATGCCGAAGTTATGGGATCCAACTCCATGTCAGTCTCCTGGCTGAGCATGGAGCCTGCTTAAGATTCCCTTTCTCTCTCTCTCTCAAATAAAAATAAAAAAAAAATTAAAGATTCAGATCATTCAGAAATGTATAATTTTTAACATATTTCAAAATTCCACCACCTCTTTCCCAAGTTCTCTAGGCTCCTTCGTACATCACACATGTGCAGTCATTGCACCATACTCCATATATCCTGCAACAGGCCTTTTTAATTTACTGATAGATCTCAGAGCTTTTCTCAGTCACTGCTTATAATTCACCCTGTGCTGCTTCATGGTTGTAGTAGTCTACAGTTTGAATGCATCAGATATTTATTGTCCTTAAATTTGAGGACAAATAATCAAGATTTTCTTTAGGTATTTTTACATAGAATGATAGGTATTTCAGAAATTCCACATTCTGTGAACTGATATTAGGAGCATGGAATGAAATGAGGAAAGGGAGCTACAAGTAAGAGTAAATATCAGCAGAGGACCTTATAAAATTATTTCCAAATGCTTACTGCTATAAGTTTTAGGCCAAAAAGCTTATTGGCATAATCCATGTTTTAAAGAAAACGCAGACCTTGTAGATAACCGCAGATTTATGAAGTGTATAGTTCTCTTTTCTTAATATAAATGCTTTGTTGTCTTTACCCTTTAGTTCTATTTTATCCTTTGGAATGTTTATAATTATTTTGAAAAATAATTCAGCTAATAGGAAGGGCTGCTTGCTTTTTTGAAAAAGCAAGACAACCAACAATTTGTGGACACAATGTATTTTGGTCATGATTAAGAACCAACTGACCAGCTATAGATGACAGTTTTATTAAAATATAAGTCACAGCATTTAAGATTACAAATGCATATTTTGTGGGGTGACAAATTGTTCTTTACCCACTATCCTCCCCCAAAGAGTGATAGTGTAATTTGACTATGGACTTCTACGCATTGGTTTTCCAGTTGTAAATTTAAAACATTTTAGGAACAGACTTAGATGCACCATGGTGGTCATTTAATGCATGAAGCCTTTTAGACCCAAGATTGAAAGGTGAAGGTTGCTATTTACTTTTTATGGGTCCAGAAACTTTCATTATTTAAACTGTAGTCTATTTCAACAAAAGTATTTTTTAGTCTTTAAGTTCTGTTTTCTCACTTTACTTTCTCAATTTTCAAAATTTTAATATTCAGTGATATCCTGTTTTGGTTCTATGTTCTATTCCATTATCTCTTTGCTTGCAGCAACTGTACATTTTAAAGCTTTTCTGAGTTATTAAAGGACCAAATACAGTAGTGACATTCAGAGGCTTGTTAACTGAATAAAAGTGATGCCATGGAGTTTTCCTAGAGGTTAACATATTGTCAGTTGCTGTCAACTAAATCTCTTACAAGTAATGCACTATATAATCTGTTGAAAACCTGAGTTTTCAATTAACCAGTCCTCCAGCCTTCTCTTCTTTCCTCTCCTTGAAGAGCAGAGTATATTTATTTTCACCTGTGTAAGCCAATTATCTCCAGTCCAGATGTTACCGGTCTACCAGGGAATCTGACCTAGAATACTAGTCTATAAATTAGTCCTTTTTACACTTTGTTGAAATGTGTGTGGTTTAGTGGAAAACATACACGTTTCTAATCTCCTGTTGCTTCTGTGTGCAGACTGCCTATTATGAGCCAGTCAATTTGCCTATACTATTACAAATGTCCACAATAATAGTCTTGTAAGGTCAGTGATGTGTCCCTGTTTTATACAGAAGGAAATAGACACTCAGAGCCCTGTAGTTACTTGCCCAGAGTCACAGAGCTGCTAAGAGGAGAGCTGGGATTCAAACCCAGAAATAGCAGACCTAAAAGCACTTCTTTTTAACAAACTGTTCCTAGAGAAATTCTGTTAGCACGTTATAGAGAAAAGAATACAGATTTAGAAGGCAATCAGTTTGGGGGCCTTTAAGAACCACCTCAGCCACTATTAGCTGTGTGACTTTCTCTTGATCTCAAGTTCCTTTTTTTGCAAACTATGGATAGTACTGCTTACCTTATAGGATTATTATAAAGACTAAATGGAAATGCATGTAAAGCCTTTGGCACATTGTAAGCTTTCAAAAAGAGTGACTATACTATCCCTCCAAGTTAAGACACCTTCTGCTGAGAGTAAATGTCAGCACTGACTAACATTAAAGAGAATTTTAATTTACTGTCCTGAAAACAGAAGATACTGATTAGAGTATTCCCATTGTGTTTTTCATTGTAGGTCTTTTGAAGAGCAGAACAGATTTCAATCCCAGCAGCAATGCAATTTGTAGTGGGCGTGTTTTCTTTTTCTTTTTAATCCTTTGTTTTAATCTCATTTGGAGTTGCAAAATTTTCTGAAGGGTCTTATGCTTGCTGCCTAGGGCCCTAGGCTGGAATTTTCTCTTAGCCTATTGATGTGGTGAGCTGTTGGAAGAGGTAGGAGTGATTTAGAATGAGATGGCATTAGGAAACAAATGAGTTGAACACATATTTTTCTGACCACTAGAATTTCGATTGAGCTAACCGGTAAATTTGTGAGTTTTATTTGCAAAACAAGTAAATTTCTTTGACTGAAATTTTCTTTTTCTTTTAAAATTGTTTTTAGGATGCAGAATAGAAAACTGTGATTCTTGCTTTAGCAAAGACTTTTGTACCAAGTGCAAAGTAGGCTTTTATTTGCATAGAGGCCGTTGCTTTGATGAATGTCCAGATGGTTTTGCACCATTAGATGAAACCATGGAATGTGTGGGTGAGTAGTTTTTCATGTAACTTTCAAACGTCAACTTTTATTTTAACACCTGTTCCTTGAAAAAATTATGCATGCTGGATATATTTAACCTAAAAACAAATTGGTTCTCTTGTTAATTAGAACTGAAAATTATTTAAGTTCTTTGCTGCCTTGCTGAATTTTTTTAGGCATCGTGACATTGGTAGTGTCCTATTAAATCTTCCTACAAAATTTGCTAGTCATACATTGGCTAGGTTCAACTCTTTAAATGCTGGTATGTTTTTATCATCTGTAATACATACATATATTAGAAATTGTAAAAAACAAAATTTCAAGCAGTACCATGAACTATTCTATCACTTTTTAATGTATCTTAATTATGGAGCTTCCTGTTTAGCCATTTAAAAAGTTGAAAAGAAAAATTTTGTGCAAAATGTTTTGTGGATTATCTGCTGCATGTTGGAAAGTGTATTAAAACAATGTTACTTTTTACTAAATTTAGATATCTAGAATGTGTAACTTAATATACACTGTTCATGAATAGTTAGGAGTACATGTTTTAAAAATGTTACAATTTTTGAGTGTTTGAAAAACACTTTGCTATTTTTAGACAACTGATTAGAATGTAAAGATCTGTGAATGCCTACATTTTGATGAATGCCTAATCTAACGAATCTAACGTCCAGGTGTAATGGCATCACCATCACACCCCCTTCTCACCACCCTGGATTCTATTTGACATGTTATACATGTGAGAGGATTTATAACAGAATTGTGTATTAAATGAGACTTTGCATCCCCTTAAAATGGGGACTTAGAAAATGAGAACTTTTTTTCTGCAGAAATATTGTTGAAATAGTCTAATCTATTTGAAAATTTGCAGAGAACACATTCAAATGACAGGATTTTGAAGAAATGTGTACTTATATTCTTGTTTATGTGGGGGTTAATATGTTCATACAGGTGACACCCTATAAAAAAAAAAGAAAGTCATCAGAAGAGAATATTCAGAATGTTGAATATCCTTTTGAGAGGCAAGACCCACACCCATTACAAATGTTCAGTGGAAACTCTTATGAAATCCTTAAGTATAAAAAATTACAAATAGAGCCCTATGTACTTCCCTGAGTAAAAACTCTTAAATAGCTTTGAAAAGTCTATGTGTAACCACTATGCCTGCTGAGATCTGAAATGCCAAAATATTGTGTGTGGACTCAGGGCCTGAGTCCTCATCTGCTAGTGCAAAGGGGCTTTTGCATGGTGAATTTGGTGAGGAGGTTTAACTCTGCATATTTTTATCCTTTCATTCCCCATCCCAGGTGTTTGGAGGGGAGCCTACATCTCCACTATAGGAATTTACAAAATGAGATACTAAAAGCTTTTACATGAAAACCTACATTTGCAAATACCTGACCATACTTGCTTATAGTGATACAGAGCACCAATTTAGGGAGTAAGAGATATAGACAGTGGTTTCTAGACAGCTAGTGAAAGGATTCTGATAACCAGAAGATGTGAAAACAAACTCCCTGTCCTTTTCCCCGAGTACTGGCTTCCACAGTAAAACTAACACAATTGTGAGTTGCCACGGGGGCATTTGGAATTAACCTGTAAAATTTTGTCTTCTGTCATAATTTGAAAAGAGGCTTTTCTTCTCTTGGTTTTAGCTATTGAATCTGTTAAAGACTCTGTATTTCAGTATCTTTAGAAGGGACCAATGGCATTCCTCTAAAAAATAAGATAAAAACAAAGTAATAGTCTTTAAATTACTTAAGTGGCAGTTCCTTGACGTAGATGAAAGTAACCCTATGGTCCAAAATATTAAAGTGTCTGAAAAGGGAATACAGGTCTTTGTGGTCTGTAAAACATAATTTATCTGAAGGAGGTGTGGAGAAAACACAGCTATAAAGTTTGACAGTGGAACAAATGGACACCAAATTGTTACCTGTGTTTGTATTTTTTTCTTTTTTTCTTTATTAGAAGGATGCGAAGTTGGTCATTGGAGTGAATGGGGAGCTTGTAGCAGAAATAATCGCACATGTGGATTTAAATGGGGTCTGGAAACCAGAACACGACAAATTGTTAAAAAGCCAGCAAAGGACACGATACCATGTCCAACCATCGCTGAATCCAGGAGATGTAAGATGGCCATGAGGCATTGTCCAGGAGGTGAGTTTAGAGAATTAACAATGGTGGGCTCTGTGCTCTCTGACTTCTCTTCTCCCTAACCATCCTCCCTCCCCATAGAGGAAACCTAATAATATGACTGGTGACAGGGTAAAATGTATCCTGTAGTTACTAAGAGACAAATTCTTAAAATGTGAAGAATATAAAGTGAATATTTCACTTTCGTGATCCCTTGAAAATGATTTGGAAGAGTACATGACAAATGAGCTTTCTAAAATGAGAGTTTTACAATATGTGTGTGTGTGTGGGGGGGGGGTGCTGATGTGCCCTGCAGATGTTGCTCTGAGGGAAGTGGCCAACTTTCAGTTGAGAAGAGTTTAGATTAGGAGGGTTTATGAAATCTGTAAAATCATCTGCATCATTACTAGTTGAAGATGACAACTTAAAATAAACTTGCCCAAACACTGGGAGGAATAAATGTTGTCTTAATGTTACCACAATTAGCTGGTTCCCTTTGTTTGGATAATAATTTGTAGAAAACAGCTACTGGTATGTGTGTGTTTATTCATGTCTTTGTAGTAATTGTGCTGATTTGCAGTAATTATTCTGTAATAACAGGATTAGGCCCATTTACAAATTAGGAGAAGCATACATAGCTCAGGTGCTGGCTGAAGCTGAGTCAGTACATTGAAATGCAGTTTTTAGCGATGTCACTGTGGTTCTTAAAGCATAATTGCTTGTTACTATTTATTTTATCACCAGCGGATGCTACGTTGCCAGAGATGAAGTGGGGATTTTTCTAGTGCACAAAATAGAAAGGCAAAAAAAAAAAAAAAAGCAAGTTGTGTTTGGAAAACTGCCCTTGAAAATAATCAAAACGTTTGTTTGCCTCCATTCTTGCTATTAGGACATAGCTTTTCAGCCCTGTAGCTGTAGCCCAGAAAGAGAATATATATCTGCTTAAATGGATTTATATTCCTATTATGCTTCCTCGTAGAGAGGTTTATGATCCATGGAGGAAGACAAAACTTTTAAGACTTGAAGACTCCAGTCGGCTTTTGAGAACTATTAGATCCAGATTCAGAAGCTACTATTAGGCAGGCAGATTTTCCTCTTGAATTAGTTTTGCTTTCCTTCACTGGGGCTTCGAAACAAAGTTTTTTTGGGTCTGCTTTTCACTAACAAGGATGGTTTTGTTCAGTTCAACGGAGTATTTTTGAGTCAAAATAAAAGAAAATATTTTCTTACAAAACTAATAAGGCACTTCTTGGATAGCTGAGAGCATTTAACCTGCAACCTTGTGCCTAAAAACAAACCCGATGTATTCAGGTATTGGAAATAAAGACTTTCTTTGTTGTATATTGTTTATGTAACTACCCCCCACCATCCCTCTTCCAGCAACGTAGCCCCCCAATTGTGGTTTACGTTAATAGCAAAAATTAACCTGAAAATGCTCCTATAACAAACATGCTTATGTGTAACAAGAGCCGGCACATTCCCCTCCCCTCTGAAATGATTTTGACCTACCCCAGGTCTGGCTTGAGAGTTTTGTAGATAACAGCTACATTGTTAACCTATAATGTTTATGGCATTTTTATATATTTTCTTTTGCTTCCAGCAATACTAAATAGAATATAACCTGACAGTGTCAGTAGCTGAAATTATGTCAAAACAAACATTTATGTATCATCTGCTAATAATCTCTTTTTGACCACTGAACCAGTAATGAACTTGGATTTAATTTCCTATTTAGGTTTTACCAAGCATTATTTATTAGGAGAGGGCAGCTATCACTCTAACCCCTGCATCTAAATTTTTGGTTTGATAAATTCAGTATTATCTAACCTTTAAAGTTAGGAGGTTTGAAAAGTTGTATTAGAATTTGTTTTACTGTTTAACGTTTCATAAAAAGAACTAAAATAGAACTGCTGATAGAAATTGAAGGTTACTCTCCAATAAAAAACTTCTATTTACAAATGTAGGAAATGAAAAGTAGAAAATTAGTCTTGGAACTTGAGCTCCAATTGATAAAAATTGGCATAACTTCCAGTGGAGTAACCCACCTTGCCTCAGGTGAGAGAGGGAACAGTTCCTTTTTTCAGCAGGTCATGGTCATTAATGGAAGAATGGAGAAGAAAACCACTTTATCCCATTTTACATCTTGACTTGATTTCAGTGATCTGCTTTGACAAACCATGCAAAAATGTAAGTCGTAATCAGGTTGGGAATACAGGCATTTTTCAGATCTTTTCAACATATGTATGGATTTCTCTCCTGTTGAAGCCAATCTTAACCTGATTGCACACAAATGCAGCCTTAACCTCCTTCACACTAAAGCACTGGCACATTAAAATCAGCTGCTTTTGATTACTGGAAGGCAGAAGTTAGAGGTCAGCAAAATGGAATAGTCACTAAGTGTATAAGATATTACACTGAGATCTATTAGAAATGAGAACATAAATGGATAGAAGATAAAAAAAAACAATGTAATGTTTTAGTATAACTTTTCTTATTGCATGCTTATTTGCCTTTTTTAAGAAAGAAAGAATACCTGGAAATAACTTAAGTCATGGATTGATTTGCATGTTAAGTTATTCAGTGTTCATTCCCCAACTTCTCTTTCTGATTAGTTGAGTTTTGGGGGCTTTTCTGACACTCATTCGTTGGGATTCTGGTCTAGCGATCACAAGATCTGGGTCTCTGCACCCTGTCAACTCGTTAACTCTGTGACCCTTGGCAAGTCACTTAACCTCTCTTGGCCTCTATTTCCTCATTTGTAAATTGAGGGTATTGGGGCGGGCAATTTCTAAGATCCAGTCCAATTCTAAAATCCAATGATTCTAAGACAAATCACCAACAGATATGGGCAAGGTCTGCGGTCGTCATGTAAGTCCAAGAGCATTGTTCATGCCCAAAGGACTGAACACTCTTCCAGTAGCTATAGTGTGCATTTGCCAAACCCTTCCACATCTGGCAGCTTTTCTCCCTCCTCCTGCCTCCTCACGGGTAGTCAACTATCCAAGACTAAGCAAGACTCTAAATCTGCCTATGACCTGTGGTTTAGCAAAGATAGCAGGAGGCTGGAGGAAAAAAGAGGGGATCATAAAAGACCATGATAAAAAGAGGTAAACAGAGAGCCAAAAAAAAAAAAAAAAGAACAATGAGTGTAGGAAACAAGTGCAAAAAAGAAAGGTCTACTTAAAAATAAAGAGCCTACTTATTGTGGATATCTGTCTTCACTTTCCTTGCTCCATTCTGTAGGGACTAGTTTATTCTATTAATATACAGCCTGGAGCTTCAAATGGAAGGGATTTCAAGTCATGACCCTGTGCATTAGATAATATGTTAGTAGAAAAATACAGACATGCTTTATCATATATTTAAATGACAAATGGGAGAATAGAATCATAGTGCTAAGGTGTAGAGTTGAAAGATGTTCATGTACAGGGGAAACTGTTACTTGGGTGACTGTAGTCTTCAGGACTGGCCAACATAACCTCAACCTGAGATATTCTGTCTGTGTGTATGGCACTCCTTGTTACTTTGTAAGGTCCCCTGACAATTAACGTTAATTTATCAGGTATTATTGAACACTGTTATGTACCAATCACTTGCCTAGGCATGATACTGCTCAGAGTCCTCACAGAACTGTTTCTAGTGGGAATCTTGGCAATCAAGAAGTAAGTGGATGAATGCATAATTTCACGTGGAGATGGAGGCTGGCAAGAAACACAAAGCAGGATAATGAACTAGTGAAAGATTGAGAATAGGAGTGTACTATTTTACATAGGGAATTTAGGGAAATGGAGGGAGTAACATTTGATCAGAGATCTGAATGAAGGAGATCTTCTGAAGAGCTAAGGAAGGATCTTTTTAGCTATTGACACAATGACTGTGAATGTCCTTGATTCTCCCACAGCATATTGGGGAAGAGGAAGAAACTGCAATACAGGAAGGCTCTGACTGGTCCACGGTGATACGTGGCAAGTTTCTAGTGGTAGGTCCAGGACTAGGACTAATGTCTTGCTGCCTGGGAAACCCAAGTTTTCCTCGTTCCTTACAATAAAAATCAAAGATAAAGCTATGGTTGTCTATAAAAGAAGCCAACTCTAAACTATTTCTCCCCCAATCCCAACACATCATCTTAGTTTTGCCCTACAAATACTTTAAAAAAAAACCTGACACCCTGCGGTTACCAACCCCTCCCAGTATCTTCCAACTTGAAATAGTAAAGCATACTCCAAGAGTCATTTCATAAATGCCCGAGTATTGAACCACTGGCTTTGCTTTGATTCAGACACCCCTACAAAGTCCTGCTTCTTTAATTTTAGTGTCATTGGTCCTCTGTTGGGGGGAAAAGTGTGACTTCCAGATTGTTCTTTTCATCTTAGTGTGTTTGAGTCACCCTCGAGGCCAGCCTCTAAGGCTGCCTTGCATTGAGCCATGCTCAGCACTCGCCTGGGCTTACTTGCTTTCAGGGGGAAGGTCTAGGGATTTGAGTCCCACCTCTGCATTTTGGGCTCTGTGCCCAGCATGGCTTTGCTCTTTCTGACCCAGTGAAGCAATCAGACTTGATAAAGTAATTTAGGCAATGCTTTGACAGACACTTATAGCTTTCTGTCTCTTTGGCTTGTGGCTGCCTCTACTCACTGTGCAGCAGTTATTAGTACATTATGATGCATTTCTTAAGCCCTCATCATATTTTCTCAGAATTGTGCTAACTTTAAATATAGAATCTCCTACTATATACTATTTCAATTTGAAAATGACTCATTCCTTTTATGAGACATTAATTGACCTTCATCTTTTTTTTAAGAGGCTTTTAACTTGATAGGAAACAAAAAATACTATTTAGCAACTCAGAAACTTAATCTCTGCAAACATCTACTTTTTAAAAGGCAGCAGTAATAAGACCTCTCTAATCTTTGTTTTCTGTATATAAACTGACAGCAACATGTGCACTAGGTATTAGATAATAGAACTAAAGATGGTTGTGGATTGTGATGGATTAAACTGAGAGCAGGAAATAAGTACATTTGCAG